TGGGTATGATTTTCCCGTTTGAAAATGTCATCAACCACAGCTTTTCTGAGTTCTCTCAGAAACGTTTTTTCTGTTATATGTCTTGATCAGAATTTCACATTCTTTGTAGCTGTATGATAATAAAAAGACGTTCATTGCAAGACGTTTGAGTAGGTAACTTTCTTTAATACTTTTGCCAAGTCCATTGACAAATGTAAGGTAAGTAATTTCAAGAAATGACATTAGAAAAGAGAAACAAAATCAGATTCTAATCAGGAACAAAGTAGAGAATAAATAAACTTACAACAGATGCATGAGTGTTAAATGCTTGGTGTCTCAGGATTTTGTTTAAATAGTCGGAACATTAGAAAATTAGCTACTTTTGCCGCTCTGGGATTCATCGAAAATTTTTGCACCTAATTTGATGCAGCGGCAAAAGTACCTAATTTTATAATGAATATTGCCGGAAAAAGAGTGACACAATCCTTCAGGTCGTCCTTGAATAACTCAGAGAAATCTCAAGTTAAGAAAATAAAAACTTCGATTTCTAGGTGAAAAAACACGGAGAATCCGATGATCATATTGTTGGGATCTATAGAGGATTTCTATAGGATCTCCAGAAACCATAAGCCCAAAAACTGGAAAGCTTTCGCTTGACTTATTTTGAAAAACATAGACTCTTCACACGTTCTCCTAGAGATCTATTTACTGAAATAAAAGTAACACAAAATCGCTTTAAACAACGAAAACCGCGCTGTTCTGGCCACACACTAATTCATGCACAATTACTGTCATCATTTCAGTTTTGAATTTGTGATTTTTCGATGGGTCTTCACGTCACCAACAAAGATTGCTGATAAACATCTGCAGAACTTCACTGTACGATTTATTATCCTTGTAAGCTTGGCATGCTCTCCAAAATCTACGGAATAACTTCTTGGCCAAGTCAGTTTCAACAAAATGCTCTCGTGACTCGTTGTTCAGTTTTAACATTGTCTCAAATTTTTGATCCGTTTTTCTGACAAAAATTTTTTGGTTACACCAAAGACCCTCTATCGGATTGAGTTCGCAGTGATAACGAGGACAAAAGATAATCTTGACATTGTATTTTTGTGCCAGCTGCTCTAGCTTTGTTACCTACTCAAAAGATTAAAAATCCGGGGTCTAGCAGCGTTTGCCATGGGATATCGAGATTACTCAGTTTTGAAAGCTGGATGTTTTGGGAGAAGCTGATGGAGATCATACAATAAAATATCTGGAGGAATTTGAAAACCAAGGTCCGGCACCATATGAAATAATCCTTTAGATTGACCGTTCTTGGGGCCTTCGGTAAAATGACAACTGAACACTTTCTTATCGCCATTTTCGTCCGTGTAGCTAATTCGGTCAACCGAACAACGCGTGTTGGAACTTTTACCAAAATCATTTAAACTGAATTCACAAGTAGTATGTGTCCGAGCATTGTCAAACAAGAAAACAATCTCGTGTTCATCGAACGCTAATTTGAATCTTATCAATTGAAAAATTCTTTCTGCTTGTGATAAAACAGTGTCGCTATCAAAATAACCTTGCGTTGCTATTTGAATTGAGGCTGTTGCTGAACGTGGAATGTAAGTGAGATCGCCTTCATTCTTCAAACTTGGATATTTCTTGATAGCTGCCTCATATTCCTGTTGGCTAAGTGTAAAAAAAGAACCACCCGGGTGCATTACCATGAAATCACTTATCATCAAACTGCGGCCACGCCCTTTATAATAAAAAGGGGCTTCACGCTCAATGAACCAACGCTTCAGAGAAAGCTAGGCATTTGGACCATATTTCACGCCCCCCTCCCCCAGGTCAAGGCAACTACTGTTTTTCGAACGGATCAAACCGTCGTTCGGGTCTTTAGTTATGTCACTGATTTCGTAAAGCTTTGTATCAATAAAACTGGTCAGGTCAGCAATTTTAAACGCCGCTGACTTTTGTTTACACTATTCCGTAATGAATGCTTTAGCTAAAACTTCAGTGTCAGGAAACCAGTCGTAAAAACATGGTCCTCTTTTTCCTCCACATCTGTCATAATAATATTGTTCCAAATCCTGGAGAATGAACACTTTGGCCCACTTGTGGTATGTTTCTGATCGCCAACAGCCTAAACTTTTCAAAAGTTAATCAGTACTAGTATAAGATTTTCCTAAATAGCGCATGAGCATGTAGATCAATACACTTAAATCTTTATAACCACATTTTTCAATGCACATTTGCACTAAATCTGCCGTTTCAGACAGCAAAGATTTATCTGCGTAGTTAATTCTTGTAGACTCATCTTCCACTAAAAACTCAGCATCACCACGCAAATCTTTCATTTCAACGTCAAAATCAGTTGGAAGTTTCACCCTTTTTTCCGGTAAGCGCTTTACTGTTGCTCGTTTTAACTATTTGGCTCTCGCTCGTGGACGCTTCATGACACAGCTTACTGTTCAACAAATCTAAAATGATAACTAAACGTAGACGCAGTAGAATCATGTAGAAATTCACACTAATACGCGAAAACTTTCCAGTTTTTAGGCTTATAGTTTTCCGGAGACCCTCTATATAACGATATGATCATCGGATTCCCCGTGCTTTTTCACCTAGAAATCGAAGTTTTTAGCTTCTTCACTTGAGATTTCTCTGAGTTATTCAAGGACGACCTGAAGGATTGTGTCACCCTTCAAAAAAATGTGATTTTCTCTGGAAGGAAGAGAAATAAAAACAAAAGCCCACGGCATTTTTATCGTGGTCATATGACAGTTCGAATGACGTAAGATTTCAAAGTTTATCTTTTGTATAGTCGGAGTTATTAACTTTGTAATCGAAAGATGTCACATTTTCACGACCCCTAGAAAACGGGCCATACATCGATCCGTTGCTAAGCGAACGGTTTCGAAACAATATATTCCGGTTCAAATTTTCATGCTGAATCTAATGAAAAAAAGCATTCTCAGTTTAGACCAACTGGGAAAGAAAAAATTGACATTTTCCGGGAAAAGGGCAATTTTCACAGATCCGCCGGTATTTCAGTATTTGGAGGGTTTCTACCAGATGAAAGCGTTTTTCTCAACAAATCTTACCTATTCAGAATCAGTGCCGAAAACTGCGTCGAATGGTGTAGGATCTGCCAAGAAAAAACTTTTAAGTCGATCTTTGAATTGCGGGCACCTTTCTCAACAAATCTTACCTATTCAGAATCAGTGCCGAAAACTGCGTCGAATGGTGTAGGATCTGTCAAGAAAAAACTTTTAAGTCGATCTTTGAATTGCGGGCACCTTACAAAAAAAACTGTTGGTCGGTTTCTTTTCGTTAAGAATTCTGATCGTCAGTACGATCAACATTTCTCTTGGTCTCCTCTCTCTTTTTGTTCCCGCACAAAAACATCTTTCCCTGCAGTGAATACAGGTAAAATTTTCTACCCTGCATAGAGTGCAGACAGAAAAACATTCTTCTTTATCTGCCGGCCGTCAGTGGAAAAAGTTTTCATTTACCAGCAAGCTGCAACCTGCCTGCACGGCCTGCAGCTTGCAGGCAGTCTAAACTGCAGGTGATCAGCTCTGGTTCTCAAGCAAATCAGTTTGTAAACGCAATTTTTTTTTTAACAACGTCAGAAACTAAATGCATGCTTCAACTAAAAGCCTCACAAAAAAATACATCACTTAACATTCTTATTTTAGACAAATTGTGTTTAGACGTTCAGTTTTGGTCACCCCGATAAACGCTATAGAAAACAAGAACAAGACACCTCTTCAAAATCTGCTTCCCACAAGAATCGTTACAAGAAACTGAACTTCTCAAGAAACAAAAGGTCGCTCTATTCCATGCGTTTCCAACTTTCAGTCTTGTATTTGCCATACTCACTGATTTCAAAGTTTCTTACATCGTCTTGCACCTAAAGCGCAGTAATATGTTGACCGATAACTTCTTTGAGGTCTTTGTTTCGTCTTGGTTTTGACTTGGCGACTGCTGTTCTTGTTCAGTCTCAGGCTTCTTTACTTCAATCAACGGTAAGTGTTCACTGTAATGTAAATCAACATTGACAAGATGTTCTTCTCCTTGTAGGTGGACGTTTAGAAAGCATGGCAGGCGGACGACTTTTTTGGCCTGCTCACTAGTTGAGACATATATGGTAGCCAGAATAGGCTAAGCCAACTTTATAGACATATACAACCTTTCTGTCATTAGTCTTCCCAAAGGAAATTAGATATGCATATAATCTATCAAAAAGAATGTAACACCAGAATATCAAAACAGGAGAAGATTAATTTTCTGGTTTCCTCTAGCTTCTTCATTCATCACACTCGAAGGAAGACGAAAAATGCTGGCAGACAAGTCTAAAGATGAAATTCCGAAAAAAAGACTGCTACAATCTAGGAACGTCTCAAGACCTACATCATTTCTCCATTTCGTTTGGCTTATGACTACAAATCATCCTGTTAAGAAATTATTTTAGTAGAAATCCCAACGAAGTATCGTTATCGAAATTAATCAGACAAATCGCTTTACTAAAGTCTCACTCAGTTCTAAAAGAAGTACCTACAGATGCAAAAGACAACTTTTTATTTCACAAAAATTTCGAACACAACTGCAGTTAAAGTTCTAATCGTCTGGCGTTACATGCCATTTACTTTTTCTTCTCCTCCGGTTTACTAGTTGGTTTCTCCTCCTTCACAGCTGGTTTTGGTTTCTTTGGTTTCTTCCACTTATCTTCAGGCATACCAGGTCCATACTTCTTGTAGAGATCTTCTTCTTCATCACTACTAAATTCATCCATAATTTTGGTCCATTTGGAGTAGTTTGTTGTTGTTTTCGGTGCGGGTAAAGACGAGGGTTTGGAGTCACTGGTTGTGGTCGTAGTTGTCGAAGTCGACGTAACTGTTGTGGATGGATCCGAAGACATTTCGTTCGATATAAATCGAAAAGGATAATGAAAAACGTGACCAATTTCTTACAGGTGTTTTGTATTTAAAAAAGTGAAAAAGTCAGCTCACCTGTACACGCTGGATAGGAAAAGAAAAGAAAGAAAGAGACTAAATTAAATCAGGCGTGTTAACAGAAGGAAAAGAATGAAGCAAATGAAACTATGCCGTGGCTGCACGTTTTTGAGTAAATCGAGCGTGTAGAGAGAAGGAAAAGAATGAAGCAATGAAACTATGCCGTGTCTGCACTTTTTTGAGTAAATCAAGCGTGTAGAGAGAGAAGGAAAAGAATGAAGCAAATGAAACTATGCCGTGTCCGCACTCTTTTGCGAGACGTCCTTAAAGACTAATAGTCCCGTTCAAATCGCCGTTACGTCAGCTGAGGCTAAAACACTGCGCGCATAGACACCTAGCTTTTTGATTCCAGTAGTTTTTGGTTCTCTCACCGTGCCCACATGCTATGAATAGGTTTCGATCTGTGTTACATAGATGCCTAAATCTCTACGGGCGGTTTTGCTTTGTTTATGGTAAATACTTTATGCGTGTAGCTGAGCTGAAATGTTTAACGGCCAGTGTGGCGGATTTACCTAATGTCAAAATAGCATTCGTCACCGCCTTCCAAAAATTTTCCTAAATTTGGCTAAAAATATTTTAGTACTCTACCTTAAATCAGCTTTAAATTTGTTTTGCTTACGGCCTCCATTTGGCTCATTTGGCTCATTTGACTCATTCAAACTTCAAAAATGTGGTTTTCTATTTAGAAGTGAGTGAGAAACACATGTAATATCCGCATAACCCATAAACTCGCTTTTCTATTCGTTTCTACGTTCTTTTCTCTTGATGTCGCTTCTACTACTCACAACTGCACTGTTTACAAAGCAAAAACAAAAACAGCTTTTTCTTTACTTAAACAGAAACTACAAACACAATCACCATTCGTTCCTTCCAACCTTCCAGCCCCAGTAAAACTGAACAGTGTAAACACATCATCCGCAGTGTCTAGATAGATCATGGCCTCCGTCCTTCAGAGGTTGACCAGAAAATCAACACTTTCCTAACAGACATGGACGACATAGAAACTAACTACCTGAAAGCCGTTCCTGCTAGTCATTAGTGGGTCGCTGAAGAGAATGAGTCGAGAAAAATTGTCGGTACAGTACTTGTTACGATGATGAAACAAATCGACATTTCAAAGCTGTTTTTCAAGATGAAATCTGTGAATCAGACGGATGGCTGTTTTGTCTGAGTATCAAAAACAGCATATTGGGTATAAACTCTTAGTAAGCATTGAGAAAGACTGTCAGATAAAAATCGTCGGACTTCTGAGCTATTCCTCTCTATAACTGGGCAAAAATGGAAGTGACTTTTCCGAAAAACCGAAGCGACAGTTTTGTTCAGAACTCTACGTTGATTTCAAATATGTCTTTTGTGTCGATTACTTAAGGGAAATTTTACATGTTTATCCGTCCCCTCCTGTTCTAATTTTTCGTCTTGACATTACTTTCTGAATGCTTCCTTGCAAACCTTAATTGACTTTGCCCGTCGACATAACTACAAAGCAGTTCACCTGAGATCGGCACTTGACTGGAAACAAGCAAGTCGTTTCTATAAACGATGTGGTTTTGAACGGGGACGAATAGTTTGTATTCAGAAGAGATCGGCCACAACTAAAGCATTCCAACAGCTGCCAAAGATGTTTGTAAGTATCAAGGAATTGAAAGAAGAAGACTGGAAAGAGATTGATAGACCGCTTCTGGAATTAAAAATGGCCTATGTACAACATTATTGGTTAAAGTTATAGACCAAGATTGAATGAATATTCAGAAGATGCTTTGAAAAGGTTTGTCTCAAACAAAGTAAGTTTTTTAGTGATTCTATGATCTTGTATAGACTCTAGTGGAAAATAAAAATGACATACGGAGCAGTAGTTTTCTCAGAAAACGTGCGCTCTTACTAAAGAAGTTATCTGTCGACTCAAATATCAAAGTGGATATGTCTTCTAACACCAGAGATATTCACTGTTATGTTTCTCTGTTACTTTTACAACAAGTTTCCACAACTTTCTGAAATGAAGAATTTCTGAAAGTGTTAGAGACTTTCATAACGTATCTATGATAAAAGTCCTTGAAAATCTGTGTGGTAAGATAACACGCTGAACGTTTTATTTTATTCTTGAAACAAAAAAAAATAACCCATTGTAAATAAGTAACAAGAAAATGTCGGCTAATTTCTTCCTGACTTTTTCTTGTATATTCGTGCCTTAAAATAGGGGTGGCACATTACTGTTACTGCTACCAGTACGAAAATTCGTTCTTTTCTATGAACAGAAATAAAGTTCTGTACAGATATATACGAAAAACATGTGAGACGCAAGAAATTATGAATAACAAATATTGATCATTTATCATTATTGATAATAACTGATGAATTCCAAAAAATTTGACCTTATTTTATATAAGAATATGTGGCAATGTTTTAAAAAAGATCGCAATCATTCTAAACCGGATTCTAGAATTGTCATTCAAGTATTACGCATCCCCTCGCCAGATATGCACTTCAAAACACAAAAAAATCATTTTTTGTTGCAGATATATATAGATCGTCGATGCGAGAGTGAAACAAAGGGTGGAAAGAAAAAAATCATTTTTTTGTGTTTTGAAGTGCATGTCTGGCGAGGGAATGCGTAATACTTGAATGGCACCTCTGGAATCGGGTTTAGAATGATTCCGATCTTTTTTAAAACATTGCCACTAGATTCAACATGGCTGAAAACCTATAATTCAAGTCTTTTGTGGGGTGGTGTGTTGAAAAAGTTAAAAAAACTGAATCTTGGCAGTCTCAGGAAAGTCCGCACCCTATCCGGACCGTTAGAGATAAACCTCTCGTTCATGGGGGTATTGGTAGACTAATGTATGGTTGTTCGAATCCCCCAGTTCGCATTAAAAAACACGTTTTTTTCGGGGTACTCTCCGTACGGAGGTACTCTTTGAAAGATTGATGTGGTACACCACCTGCAACTGGTGGGCTGCTCGGAGAAAACCCTTTTTCTAATTTCTGCAAGTGTCAGCTACACAGTGGTGAAAACCGTATGTCTTTATCTCTTTTCTATCGCGAGTTATTCAAAAAACGGCAGGGTGTCTTGTATGTTGAAAGAGATAGTATCGGGTGGGCCATAAAGAATGGACCTCCCAGTATTTTGCTTATAACTTGGTTTGGATTTGTTTCCGAGACTCGATGTCTTTTTTAAAAGATGCGCTGCGAAATTCTCTACAAAATCGTACCTAAACTATAATTTCAGAACTTCAATCAAGAAAACTAAGCCAATTGGATCAAAGTCGAAAATAATGTAAACTTCCTAACCTCAACATTTTTTTCGACTTGAACTTTTTCTTCTGCTGCTATTTCCGCTAAAAAGTGTAGCAAAAGTGAGAACTCAGTTTATGTTTGGTACTTCAAATGTGCTCTTTCTCGTGGTCTGTAAAAGAACCTTTTTAGAGCAGATGCTGTGTGCCAGAACGAGGTAATAAAAATACATCAAAAGTTGACAACTTCCTTGTTTTCAACAATGTGCTCAATCAAGAGACGAAAAAGATGATTGACGTTTGATTTTGCAGTTAGATAGAGACGAGCAATCATTTCTGATCAAAACAAAGCAAACCCGATAGAAAAAGCTTTTATTTTGATGGAGTTATAGGGCTTTTACTGAAAGCACTACTATACCAAAAATCTAAAAAGTTAATGAAAAAATGCATGACAACCGATAGAAAAACTATTATTTCGCTGTGGCTTTTGATGTGAAAAACTTTGATGTGTAGATAAAAGATAGAGCGAAGTCAGGGCTACAAAATGGCTAATTCAGTTTTTCTTACTTTCAAAACATTAACACAAGAAATCATTTTTTTAGTTTAAGAAGTTTACTTTTTTTTCGACTTTCATCCAATTGGCTTAGTTATCTTGATTGAAGTTCTGAAATTATAGTTTAGGTACGATTTTGTAGAGAATTTCGCAGCGCATCTTTTAAAAAAGACATCGAGTCTCGGAAACAAATCCAAATCAAGTTATAAGCAAAATACTGAGTGGTCCATTCTTTATGGCTCACCCGATAAATAGGTTTACAAGATTGATTCATAACCACGCGAGAGTGAGAGATGAGATGCCTACCATTATCACGCCTTTTGAGTCAGAACCGATTTAACACCGTTTTCATACTCAGTTTTTAACGCTAAATCAGAAAAAATATTCTCATAAGCTGAAAGAAAGAGCAAAGCAGAAAATTTCGCATATTTTCAAAAATTACGTGTTTTCAAAAAAAACGGGCCTTTCAAGTTTTCCAACTATAAACAATTATTTTCAAAAGTTAAAAAACACTGATCGCGTTCTGTCGAACCATAAATGAAAAGATGAAAAAATCTATTTTTACTGAAAGTTCGAATCGCCGGCACCTTACGTCTAGAAGATGTTTTAATATGTAGTAGAAAGGAAGAGAAAATCGTCGATTAATTTTGATACAACCACTAACGGCGTGAATTTTTTAGGGTTTTTTACTATATCATCTATATTCTGCCTAAGCTTGAAAGTACCATTGAAATCGGAGCCGAAAACTCTGGTTTTTTGGTTTAAAAATGATGTCGAATCAACCGTTGCTTGGGTTGTCAATACTACATGTCTAATGCGGTAACGTTACGATCAAGGTCTGTGTATATGTACGGTTGCAGTAGCTACTAACATAGTATGTCTTCTTCCTTTCTGTATGTCTCAATGACGACAGTAATAATCGTGGTTATTCGTATTATGGTGGAAGGAGAGAGAAACGTATTATTCTTGTTTTTTGTTTTATGTTCTCATATTTTTTCATCATCTTACAAACGATACATTCGATAGTACCACTTTGATCCAATAGACCAGAGAAACACGTTGTTTATATATATTTTCTCGTATGCACGGACAAAGTAAGCTCCCTGCCACTGATAAGAGTTCCATCAATTTTTATTCTTAAAAATGGTTCACAGTGGAAAGTGAGGCGCAGACAGTTGGGGAAAAAATGAAAAGACATGTTTTGGGTTCTGGAGAACGTTTGCAATAAAAAGACGTCTTCACTTTTTCCCAATATTCAAAAGAGCTGAAATTTTGGTCAAAAGTTCTTCCGAAAGTCCTGCATGTAAGTTGAGTGTATTCATGCATACCTTTTCTTGGTCTGACATATAGATTTTCCCAAAACCCTAAGTGCTTTAAGGCATATTGCAACCGTCTTGCATTGAATAATGTAAGTTTCCAGTTTTCGGCGCAAAAATATATCGATAACTTTTTAGAGAAAAGGTGGTGCAAGGAGAGTTTTTATCCAAAAGCACTTTTATCAGACTTTTTCGTCGTTATTAGAAAGGGTGACTTTATGAGTCAATGAAATGCGAAAATAACCCTTTCCCAATGTTCGCCCACACTATAGGAAAATTATTACTTAGTATTGTGCCTACATAATGTGTTGTAACTTATACAATTTATGTGTAGAAAAACTTCTAGGTTAAAAGCGAAAGTTTTACCCGTTAGCAAGAAGGAAGTTTTTACCAAAAGGCGTTTCTTCTAATACAATAGCACCATTACACGATGACAGACATCGGCAGGACCTACGAAACTCGATAATTAAACCGCTGTTTTCACATTTCTAGTAATTTTTGGAAATTAAATTTCTCGAACATAATGGAACCAGAAAAGAGGAAACTTTTAGAATGTACAATAGTGATTTGAATAACTTTTGATGAGAAGGAGCCAAAGATCTGTGTGTTCCACTGCTGCGTACCAAGACTTGTCCCTAAAAGCCCGGTCTGGGCGATCCCTGCAGGTGGTTTTTGAAAGAGTAGGTCGCCAGAAAACGAAATCATATTCATTTTGGACTACAAATTATCGAATTGATAATGTAATCGAATTATCGAGCAGCTCTACAAATCTGCATAATTTTCATCCGTTCATATCTGGAGCATAGTAAACATTGCCATGATGATCAGCACGATCGATTATGTATGTATCAAGTGCTTTTGCAGTTCCTGGAAGTCGTGAAACGCCGAATGGAACCTCACCGGAGAATGACTATACCTCCCGGGCTATCTCTCAGCCTATCTATTCCACTAAGTCAAAGTTACAAATAAATTTTGTCTGGCTCTCTGGGAATATACTGTTTCAAAGCTTAATGTGGTTTAACATCTGCAGGTGATGTCCGGCTGAACTTTTTCATAAACTGGTAGTGTCAGATCTTGCATACACAACAGCGAAAATGACGGGTCTCTGGTCCTTTCGGTAAAAAGCTATTCATATAATGGCCACCGCTACTGTATTTTGTGCGCGATAATAGTCTAGTCGATAGATAATTGAATATTTTACAAAATGAGGCCTCATCGACATTTTCCGACATCAGCTGACGAAGCTAGAATCGAAACAATATCAACCACGCACAACTCTTATCGAAGATGCATTTTCTGGTTCTTCTTTTAAAAACAATTTTGACAATTTTTGTTATTCTTGCTGGATGACGGTGTCTGAAAAGCTTTCAAGAACGTATTCTTGGTGAGAATTGAGGTTCCTTCAGATGAGTTACCGCTCAAGTTAGTCGATGAACTATCGTATTGAGTCTGATGCTAGTCCAATGGCATTACTTCGAAACACACCCAAATAAACTTTATTATCTTCTTTAGAATGATAATCCGATGGAGGCCGAAGAAGGTCATTTTCGGAAAGTATTAATAGATATTTCAGATCAATTGAGTGAAGAAGAGTGCAGAAAATTAAAATTTTTATTAGGCAAAGATATATCTCGTCGTATACGCTATGATCCAACAATCGGTGATACATGGGATCTCTTTGAACAACTACCTGAGAGATGTAAAATATCTGCAAAAGAATTTACGTATTTAATTGAAGCGTTTGAAAGTATAAAATGTATTGTTGCAGCAGATATATTAAAAGGTAAGTGTAATGTAAGTTAATTCACACTTTGTCGGAGAAAGATAGAACAGCCAAGAGAGGGCATGCGAGAATACCTACTAATTAGGAAGAAGCGAGCCAGAGGTCGAAATTAGTTTTCGTTTTTTGCATACTGGTATGAAAGAGCATCTTAAATAAGCCGCACAAAGAATTTTACGGATTTGAGGGTAGTCGCAACATATTTTTTTCTACCGTCTTTTCCTACTGCTATCGATGAAGAAGCAATTTCAGCACTTTCTAGTAATTTCGTCGGAGAAGTCACTTAGAGTTCGCCTCTACATATATCCAGAAGGTTTTTCAAAATCATTTGTAAAGAAAAGAAAAAGAAACATGACTTCATAAAATGCGTTTAAAATTATTCATGTTATTATAATTTCTTCACACTCTTCTATTTTATAAAAATGTATCCTTTTCATACTAATACTGGTAGTCCGTTATGTTTTCTCTATAACACACGAATATCCAAGCTGCTTAAAAGTACAATTCAGACGTTTATTGTGAAAGTTCTGCGGTTAACGTATAAATTGCGATTTTTATCATAATTTAACGATGTTTGATCCTGATTATAGGTGGTATCAATCTAATTATCTGTATTACAACCGTAGTCAATGTGAGAGATTTCCTTATGCCGACAACTTAGTGGTAGATAATAATTTTATTTGCATTGAGTTTGATAAAATTAGACATTTGTTCACTTCCAGTGATCCACTACAGCGTTCCATTCTTCATTCGATAATTACTAACAATTATTGTCTACCTTATCTTTCTTTTGAATCAAAAACGTCACTATTATAAACTTGGCTAACGTTTAAAGAAATTCAAATCATTGATGAAGCTGTCATTGACTACATAACTCATAGGGATCGATTTTCTGTGGTTGACTGATAAATATACTTTCTTTGTCTTTTGCACTATAGACGACAGCACAACATATTTTCTCCTCTCCTTCTGTTTCTTATAATCAGCTTTTGTATGATCATCGACCTAAAATACACTGTATTTTTAGTTTGTTATTGTATTCAAGAAGAATCTTAAAAGAAATATAAATATGCTAGTTTTTCTGTTAGATTATTCAAGTGACTTTGCGTCATAGATTCTGTCTGCTAGCTTAGTCTGGTTTATTACAATTCAGATATCTGCGTAAGAAATAAGATCAATGTTACAGACAGGTGTGAAGTATTTTTGTGAGTTGAGAACATGAAAATATTCAAACAGTTACCAGTTACATCACATACATATATTATATTGCCCACATAAATTATTAATAATTGGTGGAGGAAAAAATGTGAAAGATGGTGTCTTTCATCTTTCTCCTCTTTTTATCAAGGTATTGAATGCATTTTAGATATATAAGTTTCATTTTCATTGAACAAACGGAAACAATTTCCTTTCTTTACTTGTTCTTTCACAACAAGATACTGCCATTAACATTTTGATAAAAAATATAACCAAGCCTCAGAGTATATACAGAACCAAATAAAAGAACAATAAGTGACACGTTAAAAAGGGCAAAAAACTCATTTATTAACCAAGAGAAGAAAAGAACAGTCATCCGATAGTTCAAGTATCTCAAGGGTGTTTACCTAAAAGCGGTTGTATGAAATCAAACGCAGGATTTGCTCTCGATGGTTTCGTACAATGTCAAGAGAAGCAGGTGCATTCACTCCTACTGCTTTTCGGGGTATTCGTTAGTTCATCCACGACCGTTGCTCGAAACTTCCTGAGACGTAATAGTGGTTATCCTATGCCACATATAAACGAGATATATTCATTTTCTATTCTCTTTCCATGTATTGCTTCTCTCTATTAATTAAGCTGGTTTGGATTCTGATACAAATTAAATAATCTTTTGTTCACAAATAGCATGTACGTTCTTATTCATAATTCTTGTTGCATTGGTTAATTGCGTAGGCGCTACTCGTTGTCGCCCGAATTTGAAACATGTTTTCAGTTGATTTCGAAACGATCTTGACGACCAAAGATAAATGTAAAAGCTACTTGAATTGCTCACATAATTAAGCAAATTTGTTATCGCTGAAACCAGCTGTTCTTCAGCCTGTCGAACTGAATCCTTCGCTAGATTTTGTGTGGAAATACTGTACCAATTATATACTGTATACGGCGTCAACGATAGAACAATTACGACAATCTGTAATAATATCATTCTCGTAATGGCCTGTTCGTTTTGATTCCGGTAAGTTGTTGTTGGTGGTCGAATAATGATGCTTGTAGATGCAACTCGGCGCTGAACTATCTGCATATTTTTCCATGTTAAGAAGCCAGCACAACTTAATATCAATATTGGAATAAGATTGGACAGGGCGGGGAAAACAAAATATGCTAAATAGTTGTTATAAATTGTCGAATCAACTATGCATCGTGGTCCCGGATAAATGTTGAACAGAAACAACGACGGTATAAAATGGAGACACCAGCCGATGATTGTAATAGAAACTAAAATTCGTGCTGTTGACATTTTGCTCATTGCTCGAAGACGGACCGAACGACATGTTAACAAATATCGATCGACTGCGCTAAAGCAAGCACATGACAGAAAAATCATCTCGCCGACTTCTGTTTGATACGGGCGAAGCTTGCAAAAGAATACTGTTGTTTTGGCCAAGCTCACCTGAAATCCACCTGAGAGAATACGAAGTAGCAATGGAATGACGATACAGAATAGATTGGCAATGCACGACGTCAACAGATAGAGTCGAGATGGGGACGGGCGGAACATTCTTGTCTGGGTGGAGAACATGAAAATATTCAAACAGTTACCAATTACACCACATACATATATTGTAATACCCACATAAATTGTAAATTGTTCGGTGAAAAATGTCAAAGATGAAACGGTGGATTCCATCGTTTTGCTCTTTTACCAGAGTATTAAATGCATTTGATATATAAGTTTCATTTTTACTGAACAAAAGGAAACAGTTTTCTTTCTTTACTTGTTCTTTCACAACAAGATACTGCCATTAGCATCTTGATTAAAAAATATATATGCAGGCCTCAGGATGCATATAGAATCAAATAAATGGAACATAATTTGTTCTTTTGATGCGTACAATTTTTCGAATAAAAAAAGAAGTTTAACAGCAGCTCTAAATTTCACATTTTAGGAGTATAATTTCAAATATAATTAAATTTGAAGTATATGAATAAAAGCTTTCAGTTTTCTTTTGTTTCGACGTTTCGCAAATTTTATTTTGCATCATCAAGAAATAATCATGTTGTTAAAATCGCTCCATTCTGGATGATCACTTGCGATTAGCAATAAAATCGCCAGTTATTCGCAATTCTGACTATAATCGTCTATAAATTGCGATATATCGGCGCTTTTTAACAACTGGCGACTAATCGATTTGCATGAAAAATCGCCAGTTGTTAAAAATCACCGATATATCGCCATTCTTGAAGATCCTCGTGAGTTTTCTGTTTTTTTAATAATAGTCGATTAATTGTTGATTTTACGTCATTAAATGACTTTTTGTTAGTCACCGTTTTATTCTGCAGTAGAGTAAGTATATAAGAAACATGATTTCAACGAGAAATGTTCTTTTCAGATTATCTTTTTAGTTTAGCTTAAAACGGAGTTGCCAAGGATGTTCTCTGTAGTTTCGTCGGAGCTGACTCATTGTTTCGATTTGAGTCAGCTTTGAACCGAGGAGCCCAGTTGACTGTTAAACTAAAAACTCGCCTATTAATTGCTATTAATCGCTAAAAAATCACCGATTTATTGACTATTAAACGCACGATAAATCGGCTAAGTAATAGCTAACAGATCGTCGATTTATGACCGATTTTGACTACATGGGTCACTTTACAATGTTCTAATTTATGACAAACAATTTAGATAAGAGAAGTGGAAGAAGTACTAGCATATATCTATAGTAAAATACTGTTCGTTATAAATTAGAACATTGTAAAGTGATTTCCTGATGATGCAAAATAAAACTTGCGAAAAATCAAAACAAAAGAAAAACGAAAGCTTTTACTCATACTAAATTCGGAATCTCGCTCCTAAAATGTGAAATTTAGAACTGCTATTAAACTTCTGTTAGTTATACAAATAAATGGACGAAAAGACGAACAGTTAGCATCACGTGTAAGAGTTCAACAAACGCTACTTTTTGATAGTCTTGACCGATATAACTGCGATTGAAAGTGTTAGAATTCCTAGTTGATAGAGGCATAATTATTTCTATTTTAGTTATAGCTGTGCCACAACAGAAACTGAAATGAGCTTTCGTAATTTTATTTGGGTTGGTATTGATTACTCTAGCTCATGTAGTTTTACCTTCAGTTGGAGTAGTTATCATTCTATCCATTTAGAGTTGTAACTCCTTCAATCACATTTATATCGCTCAACCCGAGTTGACAGTTATGTGGTTCATGGTTATGACCAGGATTTTAACGATATCAACTTTTTAGAAATTTTTTTAACTTTCGAAACACAGTTTTGAACCCATCGATGTCTCAGATCCGATGAATACGGTCTAAATTCGAATTCGATGACTTTTTGCAAAAAGCACAGTGTTTGAAAAAAGATTTTCCTCGAAAAGTTCACCTAGGAACAGTGTCTCCAGGAAGAGCTCTCCGCGCCTCCTCTTTCTATTAATTTTCATCTGATTATCAAAAAAATGTTTGAACTATAATAAATCAGACTAAGCTAGCAAACCGAGTCTATAACACAAAGGCACTTGAATGATCTAACAGAAAAACTAGCATATTTACATTTCTTTTAAGATTCTTCTTGAATATAATAACAAAGTAAAAGTACGGTGTAGACCAGAGATGGGCGAAGGCGAGTAAATACTTGTACTCGAGTACAACTTTTTGGATACTTGTATTCGCGCCTTTTTTGAAGGAATAATCGAAAAAGTACTCGAGTACTCGACCGAAAGCCTTTATAATCTACTGTGGATTGCCGAGAAAAACAGTAGGTTCAAATATAGAATTGTAGTGTAATCCTATAAGAAAAATGCATGATGTAGTCAATATGAAAGTAATGAGACTGTCGGAGTAAACGAACTATTTGTCCTTACCAGAGAAAAAACAAAATTAACATGAATTTCATATATACTTTATACATTTTTTTCTCTTTATAAAAACATGTATTCGAATACATACTCGATTAAAATTTTCGTATACTTGTACTCATACTTGCCACGAAATACTTGAAGCCATACTCGTACTCGAAAAAGTGTGTACTCGTCCGTCTCTGGTGTAGACAAGTGTATTTTAGTTGGACGATCATATGAAAGCTGATTGTTAAGAAATAGAAGGGGAGAGGAAAATATGTTGTGTTGCCGTCCGCAGTGCAAAAGACAAAGAAAGTATATTTATCAGTCAACCACAGAAAATCGATCCCTATGAGTTATGTAGTCAATGACAGCTTCGTTAATGATTTGAATTTCTTTAAACGTTAGCCAAATTTCTAATAGTAAGGTTTTTGATTCAGAAGAAAGATAAGACAGACAATAACAGTTAACAATTCCATCACAAATCTGCCGCCAATCGAATAATACAACAGCAGAATCATATCTTAAGCCCATGTAACAGATCAACACTTGATTATTGGGCTTCTCACTCGATAATGATCACTTCCTCCTGTAATGCAGTTATTTCTTTAAATGATTTAAGTGAAGAAAATGAATACTGGCGATGTTTGCAAACCAGTCAGGCAAATGTATCAAGTTAATGAATGAAAAAGTGAGGCACAATATATCTACTTTTGCACTACTATCGATTTCAAAACAGAAGGCGAGTAAAAGAAACTTGAATGACTACGGAACGGTGATGGCTAGAGACACGCGGTGTTTTGCATTAGGAAGAGGATATAATCAATACTGTAGATATTTCTCGGCAGCTCTGTGCATTTAGAAAAGGTTTTGGCTGTAGGTTCCAGGACAAGACTGTAGAACTGTAAAAACCCCAAAAAACGAATTTTCACCTACGGAAATGCTATTTTGGGCGAAAAAATATTGTGAAAAAGGTGGATTTGTAAGTTTTCTATCTTGTTGGTAATTGGGATAGCGTCTGTTTCCTCATCAAAAAAACTTTTTAATTATCCTTCTTGTTTTTTTCTCGTTATAGCCTCGTACAATGCGGTTCCTAAGCCGGTTCGTAAAGCATTTCTTATCGTCTGTAATCTCTTTTTATTTCTAAGAAAATTACTATGTGTTAGAAAGTTAGGCTTTGGTATTTATTTATTGAGCCTAGTGAAACATTTCGGAATTCGATTAGACTATTCCAGTTCAGCGATATCATGGTCGAAATCACACAGAAAACAGACACTACCACATTGACCAGCAAGATAGAAAGATAGAAAACCTGCAAGTCAAAAATAGAATTTCCGTCCAATAAACATTAACCGTATGATGTTTCCTTACAAATACTTGGAATTATTCTCAAGAACTTCTATCCATGCGAAACAATGTGCACATTTTGAGGTCATATTCGTTCTTCACAACAGAATAATGTAGCTATCAGAGGTGGGCGATGAACTGTCTTTAGCTCCATCGCGCGGATCGCCTCGCCAACTTCCTGCCTTGTCATCGCTCCGTACTAGCCAAGTTTCGATAAATGTACTTCGCGAGTAAGCTTTCTGCTCTGTCGCCGCGCCTCGTCCACTGTCAACTCTTGCTGAAATTTTTCTCTGACACTCCTCATCGATCCCGTGTGCCGTCAGGCTTTCAAAAAATCTCAATCATGGGATCCGCTCCGTCAAGAATCAGAAGTTCGCGAGCATCTGCGTCCATCGCCCACCTCTGGTAACCATGTGCAAACATAGACGGTATTCCTTCAGCCAACTGCTGTTCTCCATGTAGACAGCCAAGTGAGGTAACAATGAGCAGAAAGCACGTGCTAAAAAGTACTGTGATAGTCATTTGAAAAACGTTTTTCTGACATTTTTTTCACAACGTTGTCTGGTCAAAAACAGAATTTCCTTAGGTAAAAATTCGGTTTTGTGGGTTTTTTAGCTCTGCAATCAGAGTGCGCGCCTCTTGTAATGATACGAGTTTGAATTTCGATGGAAGGTGAAATATTTACTTCTAGATTACCAGGAATGTATGGCATAACCTTTAACAAACCGTCTTATTAATCTTTTTTTTCATTGACGTACGGGATGAAAACTACGAATCCTTTCTTCGTTTTGTATATAATGAACATTATGTAAAAAGCATTGTTTTCGTTTTGTTAAATACAAGAGATTAGCACAATCATAGAAAAAAAGGCTCTCTATAAAGTATAAAGATATGCAAGTTTACTTATAGACTTGTATGAGCAAAGTAAAACTGTGATGCAACGTAAACGGATTATGACACATATATGTTAAATATACATAAATTACAGATCACTTTTATTAATAACAAACAATTTTGATGATGCAAGATTTTATGAGCAATTTAAAAATATTCATGAATTGAATCTAATAGATTTTGATATCAACTATATACATTATCTTGATAAGTATTTTCCAAATATTCGTAGTTTAACTAGTGACGTTCGGAGTTATGGCACAACGTTATTTACAATGAACGACATTATTGAACTAGTCACATCGATCAAACATTGGATTTTTGTTGAGTTGGTGTTTTATGATGTGAACTATAATAGTGTCGAAGCCATTCACAAACATCTTGATGTCTATTACGATTGCATATATGTTCAATTTGATTCTAAGATGAGACCATCATATTCATTCGGAAAACATATTCAGATATGGAAATGAATAAATCGGAGTTTTTTTAAAGGTTTCTTTACCTATTTATTTTTACAAAGTACAAATATTTCTAGTTTAATTAAGAGTATGAAAATGGAGTTAGATGAAAATACTGATATATGATCTAGATTCATTTCACAAGTGAAACGAATTCATGATTTCCTGACCGTCCGTTGTCACAGAGTGTCACTAAGACACTCTGTGACAACAGAAAACATCGTACAAATACTTAGATACTTTGCCTGAAATAAAGACCAGGTTCTCAGCAACAAACCAGGAAATTCGGTCACAGTGCACTATTCTTCACGCTAATAAAATTCTTTACTTTATTTCATAAACTTCAGTGAGTAGACTGCAAGTTGCCCGTCCACCGCATTCCAATATACGTCAATATTCTCGATCTTTCTTTTTTGGCTTCAGAAGTTGAACTCATGGAACACACCAAAATACGAGCCAAACATAACCAATGATAACTGACCGGCTGACTATCCACTTTAGTCGCTATAAAAAAGTTTCGTTTCAATAATAAGTTGTTTTTAAATTAAAATCATAAATAAAGTATTACTCAATAATAGAAAAGAATATAAACAGAAGATCACGCGATTCCATTCACACTATTCCGTGCATGATGACTGTTTTTTCTTAGACTAAGCCTGGTTAATGGGTGACGCAAAATGAAGTAAATTGTTCGTTTAAAAAAAGAATGCGCTTCGCCATTTTTCGGCAGCTAGAGGACTATGGTTTCGCCATTTGGAAGGGAAGACTTTGAGGCATGTTTCCTTGAAGAAACGTTTCCAGAAGGATTTTCTAACACAGGTTTCTTAGGGACCTTTGAAAAATTCGCAATGGCAAAGTTTGTACGTGCATAGAGCAGATGTCTTGTCAAATCGATACGTATCTTCTCAATGATATGAAAGTAGAATAACATCATTAAAACGAATATAATAATGTAAATAAAAAATGCCGAAATGGTAAAGGAAGAGGGCGGATAAGGGTAGTTTCCGTGCCCTAATATGTTTGAGATTTTTCTATCGGAATCATGTCAGGTCATGCCTAGGAACATTTCCTGATACTTAGTTACTCGAAATCTTTCCATCGGTTTTTTGAGGATTCTTTTTGATCAACTTGAATTCCACATAGGAATATGTAATCAACCGTGCTGATCGCGAATACGAAGATCAAAGACTCAAAATTATTGACTTTATTCAAAATCCTTCAAAATCGAGTATAAATTCGTTTTTTTCTTGTAGGAGCACGGAAATATTTATGAAAGCACACCGATCCACACAGAATCTCAAGCTGGATCGACTGATGTAGTTTAAGAATACTTCTGAAGCTGTTTATGTAGAAAAAAATCTGAAATACGGCTGAACACTAGTATCTTGTTGTTTTGACGCCTTTAACATAGCTCGCGCAACTCGAAGCTTCGTCAGTAGATGCAACTATGCATGCTCCATCCAATGGCAGCCTCGTATATTGAAAAGGGGGTGTACAAGGGGGTCAAAAACTCAAAATACGTCTGATTTCATATTTTCACATACAAATTTTTGCTAAATCTATGTTGTAAAGTGCTGTGATACTGATACTTGCTTTCTCTACTAGTATTTGATCAACTTAGAGTTAAAGCGGAGCAGAATGGGCTGTTGGCCGTTGTTTTCTTCGAAAAAATCACCATTGTCTCCTCCTCAGCATCTGAGAGCTCGCTCATGATCGAGGAAGTTTTACTAAAAACACACAGCACACTTCATAGAAAAAAGAGTTAGGCCAAAGAATACAGGGTAAGATTATCTTCATCACTATCTTCATCTGAAGAGGGAGCAGTTTGAGCGTCGATAAATGCTTGTAGATAATTTTTCGATCGCTGAGTGACTTTTGCGATATCGTACCGCGCATAACCAAGATACCATAATATGCTGCAAATATTTGAATGTTTACCTTAGATTGTTGCCATAAGAATGTCTTTATCTTGAGTAGAGACAAGAATTTCATAGTTCCATTTTCATCTATATGCTCGTTAACATAAGAAATGGCTTGTTTGACAGAGAAGACTCCAAGAGTAATGTCATTTAATACAGCTAACCTCATAGGTGGAAATTTTGGAGCAGCTGTAGCATCTTCCATCTTCTCCCACTTTTTCACTTTAAGAAATTCTTTATCATTCAATTTCTCCTCCAAAACATTCTTTTTATTTCTTCTTTGAAGCATTTCTCCTGCAGTATATTGATCATTTGCTGTATCCTGAATGCAAGGAGGCTGAAATGCATTGATCAGAGCTGCAACAATAGAAATGTAATCAAATATGTAAGGAAGAGTAGAATTTGGAACAATCACATCCAGATATTTGAATTGTTTGAGACGTCGATTTGCTGCTTCCACAATCCACCTAATAACAGTAATCATTCGATTGTCATTTGCTTGTTCACTTCCATAAATCTTATCTTTAGGAAGAAAGGCAGACATGTAAGATAGTTAACCCAGATCATGAATTAAAGGAAGAATATCTCTAAATCCCCTATCAACAACAATAACATCACCAGGTTGAAGCCAATCAATAGTTCCCTCTTTGTTGGTTCGAAGGGCATGATTCGCAATACTGGTATCGTTGTTCTACCAGTCACTCATGTAAGGTCCCATGACCGATAAAACGTAACCTGTTGTTGAACAAATAACCATAGGCTTTATCAATGGCGTATTTCTGCGGAGAGAGAATAATTTTGTTTGTAGAATATTGTTGGCACTCTTCTGTACATAAATATAAGTTCCATCCATGATAATAATCGCAACATCTTTTCCATCAGCAAGTAATTCTTTGGCCAAAGGACGAGTATGATTTCGAATAAGGGCTTGTCTACTCAAATGATCAGGTCCAAAGCCTAAATGAAAAGGAACAAATCCGTGCATGAGTGCAATTCTGGCACTTTCTAATACATGGCTGACTGTTCTTTTATCTTGGAATTTGAAGAGAGAGGATAATACAGAATTACTTAGCCCTAAACGAAGTTTGACAAGTAAACAACCAATAGCCATTGATGTAGAACGATTTTCGGTATTTCTCATGTTAACTTGTTGACAAAGTAAGTTAAAATATTCTTTATATAGTTAGTGTTGTTGACCCGGTGACTCATCGTTTTACTGTCAATTTTTATACAGCGCCCTCTCTCAACTTTCCCACATACGTTTGGCTCTAGGTTTTTTACAGATAACTAATTTGTGAAACCTAGAAGTTTTGTGCTACTTTTAGTTT